TCTTTGGTTCAGGTGAAAATGGCTTTGGTGCACAACCTTTTTCAATGATTTCATTCCCGTGTTCATCTTTTGGTCTTCGGTAATTCTGCACATGATCAACACGTATTGATCTTCCACAAACCTAAAATGAAAATATGAAAGAAACAGCAATAGCTTAGTATAAGCTGCTATTGTAATAGAATATAATAATCTGATGCATGTATTATATGAAATTAAAATTAAGTATTTCTTTAAACTGTTTTAATTTCAATACCTTAATGCCATTGAAGTTATCAACTGCCAGTATGGTACTTCGCTGATCCTCATATCCGATGAAACAAAAACCTTTCGACTTTCCAGTTTTCTTGTCCCTCACTAGATTAATGTTTACAATCTCTCCATACCTGTAACATCAGTACAACATTGAAATAAGCAGTAAAATTATATTATTACTAATTTTCATATGCAGTGCATGTTTTCAAACAGTGATGATTACTAGTACATATTTCATCCAATTTGAACGCCACACAGCCCTTATGGAATAATTGACAGTATGTGGTAGTTAATTAGTGATGATTAGTATGACATAGGCCAGAAACATGCTCCATGCTCAGGAAATTAATAATAATATGTAAACTTTAAAGTGTACACTAGACGCCAGTGTTATTACTTACTGAGAAAACACAGACAAAACATCACCTTCAGTCAGATCATAGTCCAACCCACCTAATTAATAACAAGTCAATTAAGAATCATGTGACATATTGTAAAATACCTATGAATATATAAGCACTGGTTGCGTATTGCTGATGCCATGAAGCCCCGCCTTCAATACCTAGCTCTAACTCCCTCAGGGTAATGTCTCGGACTGATTTCATGTTACTAGAAATGAATTATTATTATTAATGCTTGATTAGTTTTTAACCTCTTCCCATTTAATTAAACAAACTTAATAAGGTACAGTACATACTTCATGATGAGCAGAACTGTGAACTGAGAGCTTCTGAAGAGAAAACCTAAAAATCAAACAAATAAATTAAGTGTGCAAAGGGTTAAACTTAAGCAGTTTATTTAACTACTAGATCTCATTTCAAAATGGCAGGAGGTAGTGGTAAGTCAGTTAGAGATCGGTTAAGTCAATGGGAGTCATCACTGGCTCCACTGGACGAAACATCAAGAGAAGAATTCATGAAACTAAGTACAACAGCGGAAATAGAC